AGAAGTGGAGGGTAGGAGCGAGCAAGTGGGAGGAAAAATCAAAAAGCAAAATTTTAACACGCGATATCATAAGACAAAAACAACGCTTCACCTTTTTACCCTTTGACTCAAGACTTCAAACAAGGAAACACAATCGGATCAAACGGGACATTAGAGCAACATCAAGAGGTAAAGATGGTTCCATCCAATGCGCGAGTTCTATCTTTACAATAAAATACGAATATGCGTACGAAGTATTTAACGACTTTTCCATCACGTACCGACGACGAAAATACCATTATTACCAGTACAGATTGACGGATGAAGGTCTAGAGGTTTGTTAATCGTCAAGTACTCTTGTTCAACAAAAATGGCAGAATTTGGTTACCATGGAAATGGGACAGCTGGCCTCTAAACATTGCAATGTATCCGTGGATGGACTTCACATGCGAGATTACTTTGTATATAAAAATCTAACTGTTTTCGTCAGACCTGCTCAGCAAAGTTTCATAAGGCAAAGTTACGGAGTGATTTTTGGACATTTTGCAATTTGTTCAGCGAAGCTAAGTTTAGCCTGCAATGACTATTTGGTTAAAGTAAACTACGGTGGACAATATCATGTCCTTTCTGATTTGAGGCTACTTTACAACTCCACGATTTACTTTTATGACGAATATCGATTTAATGACGATAGTTTTGAAGTTTGTGTTTCTAATAATTCAAGAATTCAGGCTGTTTGGAGATCTCGAAATTCGTGGGAGAAGTATAAAAACTCTATAAATGCCAAGATGATGATAACATTAAAATCAGTTATGTTGTAAATAAACAGTTCACAATCTTTTCAAAATTGAACGGTCAATATTTCTCAAGAAATGACTATGGGGTAATAGACGGTGAACCACACGTGTGTAAAGAAAAAATAGAGCCAGAATTAGAAACATACCCTGAGGATGTTATTCTAACATGCAACGAATCAATCTTCAGTATAAAATACAATGATGAATACAAAGTTTGGAATAACTTTTCGATACTCTATAAGAACAAGGTGTACGATTATACTGAGTATCGAGTTCTGAATGATACCATAAAGATTTGTAACTCCACTGATGACTACGTACGGAATATGTGGAAAATACGCAATGCCTTAGTAAAGGAAAAAGTGCATCGTGGAAATTGTGGGAAAATTAGCCTTATTAATGGACAACATAATTACTTCGTGACCAAACAGTTTCATGTCTTCTGGGAGAAAGCTGATCAATACTTCACTAGAAATGACTATGGGGTGAGAAACGGTGCACTAGTTTTATGCTCAGAGTCGTTTACTAATGGCAGAATAGGAATAGGAGAGTATACCAAGAAAGATCTATTAACATGCAACGATTCAATTATCAATATAAAATACGATGATGACTACAAAGTTTGGAATAACTTTTCAATACTCTATAAGAACAAGGTGTATGATTATACTGAGTATCGAATTCTGAATGATACCATAAAGATTTGTAACTCCACTGATAACTACGTAAGAATGATTTGGAAAATGCGTAATTCTTGGGTAAAAAATGTAATTCATCTTAAGGCTTGTCGAAATCCTGACTTTACTTGGTCATACATATATGCTGTAAGCAAGCAGTTCCACGTCTACTGGGCAACAACTGGTCAATATTTCTCAAGAAATGCCTATGGGGTGAAGGATGGGAAAGCTCATGTTTGCAAAGAAAAGTTGCGTGTATCCACAAAGTATACCAAGGAAGATCTATTAACATGCAACGATTCAATCATCAATATAAAATACGATGATGAATACAAAGTTTGGAATAACTTTTCCATACTCTACAAGAACAAGGTTTATGATTACAATGAGTATCGTTCTCGGAATGATAGCATAAAGATTTGTAACTCCACTGATAAATTCGTGTGGGATTGTTGGACATTGCGTAATTATTTCGTAACAAGGATAAGAGGTTTTCGTTGTGATGTAAAGATAATCCGAGATATTTATGTTGTGACCAAGGATTTACATGTCTACTGGGCGCCAGCTAGACAATTTTTCCCCAGAAATATTGGGTGTTTGGGGTTAACCTTTTCGTATGCCGGAAGAACTTACGACCTTTATCAACGGATTACACCAAGGAAGATCTATTAACATGCAACGATTCAATTATCAATTTAAAATACGATGATAAATACAGAGTTTGGAATAACTTCTCAGTACTCTATGAGAACAAGGTGTATGATTATACTGAGTATCGAGTTTTGAACGGCAGCATAAAGATTTGTAACTCCACTGATAGCTACGTACGGAATATTTGGAAAACGCGCAATTATTGGGTGAAAAAGTTCATATATTTTGAAAGATGTAATAGAACTATTATTAAAGAGGGACGCAAGCGTGGAAATTTTCCTTTACTGAAGGAGGTGAAGTTACAGGAAACAACAGCAAAGTACATAATTGACAATACAAGTTTTGTCGACTTTCCAAGGCACTACACCCTGTTTTGGTTGTTTTCACAGCCGGTCAATGTTACAATAAGTTCTTCAATGAGAGTTGCAAGAGAGTACAGTTACGGCGTGTTGGAAGGTAAATTTATTGTATGTTCTGATAAACACGTGAGACTCGATATATCAGACATTAGATTTTCTTTCGTAGCACCGATTTGTGCTTTAGCCCTCTCGATGATTTGTTTATTACTGCTCTTGATCGTTTATGGCATGCTTCCAGAGTTGCGCACTCTTCCTGGTTGGAATTTGATGAGTTTAAGCTTCTCATTTCTCTTGGCATTGATTAATTATGTAGTATATTTGTCGCGGTATCTGCGTGTAGGTAAGGAGTTGGACTTTCCATGTGCCAGACTAGAAATAACAAGTAGATTCATTACATATAGCACACTCATGAATGCTGCAGTAAATATCTATCATCTAAGAAAAACCTTTTGTATCAATACAGTATGTGCGACGAGATCTGATGTAAGAAAGTTGAAAACTTTCTTGAAGTACAGTCTCTTTAGCTGGGGTGTTCCAGTCTCTTTTACTCTTCTCAACATTATTCTTGTGAAGATTAAAGTGTTAAGATTTTATCAGCATATATCTCAAGGATTGGTTTATTGTGCCAAGTGTCATAATATTCCTAATTGGTTGATCGCTGCAGAAAAATATGGTTTTCGAGGCTGTGTTTTGTTCTACATCGTTGCAATGTTTATTTTCACCGCCTTTCGAATTCGCCAATCACTCAAAGAAAGCAACAGCATTGTACAAAAATCGAATATTGTTAAGAATCGGAGAAGCTTTGTTTTACTATTAAAGCTGTCAACCACTACAGCGATTAGTTGGACGCCTCTCATATTTGAAGACTTAGTTTTCAAGTCTGACGTGATGATAGCTTTACTGACCATAGCCTGGCTTACGGGTGTTTATGTTGGAATCGCGTTTGTTTTCACACGAAAAAATTACCACCTTCTAAGAAAGAAATATTTTACCAAGTGAACTATATAGCAATGAAATTGTTTTGTTTTTTTTGTAATAAGAAATTATAATCCATTATTTCATAAAATGAAATTTTATTACCCAATGTTGACGTTCCAAATTATAACTACCAACACACAAGTAAGTCTAGAGATCTGGGGCCGGTTGTTCGAAAAGCGGTGAATAAGTTAAAAATGGAAAACAAAATTATCTATTTATTGAACAACTGAGCTGAAATATTTCGATGTAAATAGTTTAATTTGTGAATGGAAGCAGATATTAAATGCATAAGATGCAGGTTCAGTCATTCACAAGATCTATGAGAGTATTTTTAATTTTTGGCTTATTCACCGTTTGAGCTAAACACCTTTCGGCCCCTGACCATGTTCCAAAGTCCAACAGTCAGGGTTTGATGAAATAAGGCTGGTAAACAAAAACATTAACTCGTAAGCAGTTCCCGTTTTTTTTCATCGCGCGTTATGGTAGGGTGTCATACAATTATACAGTATATCCGTACAATTAGCTAAGCTTTCCAAGAAAATTGTATAAATTTAGCACATAAGCAAGTGTATATGCACGTTTATATTAAGTGTAGCAGTCACAATAAAATGAATCAATAAAGTCATGGCCAAAAAAATTTATGGGTCCCTTTATTATGGAATAAGTTTCATATCGAGGATCGGCGGATCTAAGATTTCTTCTAACTTAATCCAAAAAGATTTACTCAAAAAATGGGGGGGGGAGAGGATGTAAAAAAATACGGGGAAGGTAGTAAAAAAAAACGGGCGAGGAACAAGAATTAGGCTAATTTCACTCTCATTAACGAGCCCTAAAAGCAATGATTCTGATCCACATGCATATAAACAATTCAAAAAGACTGAATGGCTTTTCAGACGGACTGTTCAGGATTTAAAGGGGGATTAGAGCTATGTCAACAGTCCCATTTGTGGGTGTGCTCATTTTCAGTTTTCAGCACTTTGTTCCCAGATTCGGATTTTGGCACATATGCCATGTTGACCACATTGGTTATTTTACCCTAAAGGTTGAGAAAATCTGTCCTAAATGAAATACACACAAATTCCTTCACAGGTCCTGGCCTCACTATATGCTGGTTCATTACGCATGTGATATGTAAAATAATTACAGTCTCTAATGCTTTAAAACATTAACAAATACAGCCAAATACAAAATTACAGAAACCATTACAATTACAAATATTGACAGCTAATAATACAATCTAGTAATATACAAGAAAATGGTTTTCGACCCTGATTGGTTGATTTCAGTGCAGTTAATCCCAAACAGTGGTGCAAAAATGTGAAACAGGGCAAATTTCTGTAACAACAGTGCAAAATCCTCTTATAAATATATCTGATTTTTTTGAAAAAAAAATTAACCAATCAATTACTGTTCCGCGTTTAATAATAGCAATGGACAGACGAACTGTTAAAATTTGAATTTTGAATGTTTTTCAATATTTGCATAAATTGTTTAAACTAATTAAATTCGAAATAAAATGTTCAAGGACATATAATGGATGAGGTCAATAATTTATTGTCTCCAAGATTTCCTTGCATATCATTAATACGTAGTACTATAATTTCTCGTGTAATTACGGATAAACATGCACTCGTGAGTTTTTAAAGACTGCAAATATACCGCTCGTCCTTCGGACTCGCGCTATTTTGCAACCTTTAAAAACTCACTTGTGCTTGTTAATCCGTAATTGCACTCGAAATTACACAATTATCTATATACAAAGAAATGTAAGTCATTATTTCATTGCTGGTTTATATGTTCAAGAATTGCATACACTAGAAGGGCTATTTCTAAAATTATAATGGTTCATATTAAGTTTCTTGTCTCTTTCTTGTGATTGACCAACTGTTAGTTTGAATATTAAAATTAAAATAATTCAGAACTTGCACTATATACATTATAAGAGTAATAATATTGAAATTTTACCTGGTGGCGGTGCTTTATAATATAGCATTCCCAAGCAATTAAGATGCTTCAAGTCTGTGTAATACTTGCATGCATTTGTAAATCTATGTAATACGTGACTAATGCTACAAGTCTGTTTACATAGCTTTCTTGCCTTTAAAATAGGGACGCTGAAGTTTTTATTTTGACAGCATTTCGAGAAAAGCAAAGTAATTTTTTTAAGAAATTTTTGAACTATTTGAATTCTTACCTATGTTCAGAGATTGATTCGATTTGATTGTATTGCAATAAATCACCATTTGATAACAAATTCTTTACAATAATTCTTAAATTTGGTTTCCACACTTATTCTGATTTTTCAATGTCTGATTAATAATTATCGAGGCAATTCCCTTGTTAATAGTACATGTTTGTGGACTTTTACGTCCAAGGGGGATTTGAAGAAGTCGGTGTTTATCGATAAGTTTAAGAAATGTTTTGCCGACTTTAGTTTTAACATTTTTCCTCGCTTGGTGATATTGTTTAAAGTTCTGTTTATCTGGGAATGGTCGTTGGTTGGTATTTAAATTAATACCTGTAATCACTGCAGTTTAGAGCCTCTCTATAAACATGGGCGGTTTATTCCAACGCACAAAAGTTTGCGGGCAGCAAATGCATAGGTTGGGGTACCTGACCAATTCTTGGAATATCCATAAGGTGTAATGGTTGACTCTGGACTTCTTCTTTGACCACGGGGGCTTCAAAATGTCTTTCGCTCTCTTCTCATCTTTTTTTCGTGCCTTTACTTTGCATGATTCCTGAACCTACAAACCTGTTACCAAGTTTGCATACTACGGTGGTAATAGAGTCAAGTGGCTTTCAAGATCAGAGTGGATATCAAGATCACCATTTTCTCGATCAAAAACTCCAACGATGGATTCGTTTTCGCCCATGGATTTTTCGAGGGAGAAAAGATGTTTGTAATCGTGGTCTAATTCTGTAAGATCGATCTTCATCTTCCGTTATCGGTTGTAAAGTCTCAGCCCATCATATATTAGCTACTTTTTAGAGAAGTTTATGATGTATGACCTTTTTTGAGAGTTTAACGAATGAGTTGCGGTATGTGAGTTCATCCAGCGGTGATGCTATAGCTACCTTGACGAAATTGTTATTAATACCGCCTGGAATAACTTCGTTTTCCTGGTCAAGCTCATTTTCCATACTGGCTTAAATAAAACTGGAATCTTGTACTTGTTTACACTTTCCCATGCAGCAGTATTTCATTATAACGTATGAGTTTATTGGCGCCACTATGTTGATTCCATCGCTAATAGCAAGTTTATTTGTTACACAAAGGAATTCTTCATTAATATTATCTGTTACATCATCGTCCAAGATTTTGATATTTGCATGTAGAAATTTGCTGTATTTTTTGCCGGTCGCACAAACTTTACTTGATTCATCTCGATTATTAAATACAAGGCCAAAACGTTGCTCTTCGTCTTCAGTTTTAATCGCAAAAAATGCTATCAAATGGTAAATTATTAAGCTTGCACAAGCCTACAAGCAGGTTTGAAATTGCAGCAATCTTGGTACAGAGAAAAACATCCGATTTTATATCAATCAAAGTCGAAAAATCTCGTAATGTGCCTTTCTCGAAGAGTTGTCATGAAAACAAATTTAGCGCATGTAATTAATGCTGTGCGAAGACGTTTTAGGTCACACTTGTTATTTTGCGTTAATTGTGATTTTTTTAGAGTTGAGTACGAATTTAATTTTAATTTAGACTGTCAATACGAAATGTGTGCAAAGCGTAGCTGACTGCAATTAACATTTTTCATTTGTAAAAATCCTAAAAGGTTCGAAATCTTTTAGGGGTGATCTAAAGCTTTCGCACGGGTATATTCTTCCGCGACGGAAACGCTGTGAACGAAAGAAAGTTTTTACAGTTGATCGTGAATGATATCTGTTTTGTATAAATTGGGCTAAAATATAAAACATATTATCTAAAAGCTCAAGTCTAAAAAATTCTTCACTTGACGTAGATCGATCCAATAATTAATCAAAACTTTTGTTAATCTGCATCTGAATTCTGTTAGTCTTCATTAACGAAAGAATCTCTCAGCGCTTCGTCAGCATAAGGTCTTTTATCAATCTTGTGATTAATCAGCTGGGACACAAACTTTCGAGCTTTACGATCACCAAGTTTCTTCAAATTGACAGAGTTTCCTTTCAAAACATTTTTCGTTCGATCTAACCTAGATCCGAAAGGATGTTCACCTTTAGTTAAAACGTAGAAAGCAATCATACCCGCGACATGAACATCTGATTTCTTTTTGAATGGACCTTTTTCTTGTTTCTCTCCCGCCTCAATAACTTCTGGCGGTATCCATCCTTCAGTGCCTTTAGCATCTGTTGCAACTGCCGTTTCGTCGCCTTTTAGAATTCGGCTTATTCCAAAGTCTGCCAATCTCATACTGCCTTCGATATCAACAAGGATGTTTGATGGTTTAAGATCTCTGTGCAATATTCCTTTACCATGAAGAAATTCCAGTCCTGATAGAATTTCTTTGATCATTCTTGGACCTTGCTCTTGCAACTGCTCAATAGTGTGAGAGCCGACAAGTTCAGTAAGGGTTTCCTCACAAAGATCAACAATTAGATGTATGAAATTCTCGTCCCTATGAAAATATCGATAGCTCACAATAAATGGAGAATTTTCTGTTTTCAGAAGACTCATAATTTCCATTTCGTTTTCAGCTACTTTATCCCACTTTTGCAACACCATTCTCTTAACAGCAACTTCACTTCCATCCTTCATGAGACCAACATAAACACATGAATAACCACCATCACCAATTCTGAATTGCTTGTCGGCGACAAAAGCCTGTATCGGAATTTCAGTCTATGGAAGAAAAAAGAAATGGAATAGAAATGCCATTAATGAGTTAAAAATAAGACATAATGTACATGGGTGTCCCCAAAGATAAAGGACTCCGGATTTGATTAGAAATTAAATAGCTTCTTATCAAGTAAAGTTTTATTAGTTTGAGGAAAAACTAACTTAGATTTTGATATGTTATAGTAGTTTTTTAGAAAAAAATTCATGGAGATATTACTTTACAAAATCCGTATACAATATTTCGGGATGTCTCTAAAATATAAAAAATACGCTGTATAAAAACACTAGAAATACATTCATTCAGCAACCCCTCCCTATGCCAAACCAAATAGTTACACAATTCCTGAGCTAACCTTACCTAAACTTATATTATGAAATGACTCAAAACTCAAATCAGTCAATATTATATTTTATCGACTATATCCTGCTAATTTTTCTATCATTAGGAACAAAATTGATCATAAAGATAAAACATTGGCCGTTTAATTTTTGCAGCATAATATGCCATTAAGTCTCTTTATATAGTCTCCCTTGCAGCAATTAATTAAATGTTTAAAATTCGAAATTGAAACCATGAAAAAAGTACAATATTTTCTGACACAAAGAAAATACCTCAAATATAGTATTTTATTCTGTGATTGCAGTCGATCCTAATACTTTTATAGTATGTAGTGATACTTGTAGTGATCAAAATTTACGCTACACTTTCAAAAACACATTTTTAGGTTTAAGCGAAGGGGTAAAAGCCTCTCACATGCAGGTGGGTATGCCTTTACAAAATGACATACAAAGCTGAAAATTATACAAATAAACTGCATCCTTACCGCGATGCAAACATGGAATAAACACGTACCCATTTAAAACACTTATAAGCTTGCATATTATGAATTATTTCTCTTACACCGCTTAAACTTTATATTTTTTATGGTTATCTGTTATACTTTATCTTGTTTCGTCTCATTTTATTTTGCACATATTTTGTTAAGATAACTGACAAAATCGAACGTCTACCGTCCATAACATAGAATTTGGACAACTTTGGATTACGCTATGTTCTGTTACAATAATACCTTGTGTAATTCCTAATTTCCGGCGACATAATTAATTAACTAGAAATACAAGCATGCATGCACCATCCCTCGCCATTTTCAACCAAAAAAATAATCTAGATTAGCTATAATAAGTTTATATTATGGAATGACTCAATAGCAAAGCGTCGCTAGCCAACTTTTTTATCATTTGGCAACAATATCATAAATCAATGGATTGTGATGTCACCCGTTTTCTACAACCTTACAGAAAACATCATGGATTCGCCCATTGTGGCGAAGTCCGTTGAACCACAAAGTATCATTGATTTGTCTGTAATGTAAAGGCCAAGGCACACAATTACACAAAAATATAAATCATAATTTCGTATATAAATTATGGACAAGAGCTTCAAGGTTTCGTGATAACAGGTTAGGACATTCAAGCACATTATCATGCATGATAATCACACAGCACTTGTGCCGCACACTTTTTTAAAAAGCTCATACGCTATTTTAATATTAAAAGGTTATATGATGGCCGTAGTAGAGCAAACAAATTATTTCTAGATGCCAGAGACTCAAGCTTGATGCTCTAACCTTGCTGCTTCAAACTTAAAACAGGTATTTCAATGATATAATGATGGCGACTCTCGCAATGATCTTAGGAATCATGAAACTGATTTAACATTACCATGCACAACCAAAGAAATAATTATTTTGAATACGGTTTAGATACAATGGAGCCATCCATTAGCATAACCTGCCATTGATGTAAAAAGGGTTGATTCTGTTAATTTATTTAAACAAGCGAGATGAAGCTGATCTTTCCACGATGATACCAATTCGTTTTTTATGTGTTTATAGTTTTTCTATTTATCTGTCTGTTTTGTCTAGAGTGTCAAAATTAGGTTTACTTATGTATATGTGTGTATTTAGCAAAGTATAGTGTAAGCGATAAGCAATAAATATACGACCCAAACCCACTCCACCTGCGGCATGTATATGTTGAAATATGTTTCTTAAAATGCGAGGCAAACACGTAATTAAGCAAACACATTTGGAAATTAAAGGACTCTAATACACCGCACACTATCAGTTGGAAAATCATTAAGAAATCACAACCGTATTGTAATAAAACTAAACGCTGTAATTTATGCCTATCTGAGAAATTTATCATCATATGTCTTCCTGAATTAAGCTCTTTGAACAAGCGTAACGAACTTGTTTCCACATGCCGGCATCGAAAGAAGTTTTTGCTAAGTAACACCTAGTAACCAACTACATGTAATACGACCTAATTAATTATGCATCTCTTGTATATAGCCGTTGTGCTGTTGTAATTACATATTATTTACCAAGCGTTAAGCTTGCCACACTCATCAGATTTCCTTTTGGAGGCTGTGGCAGGGAAACCCAACATTTCCTCACCATGTTGGCAGATAAGGTGGCGACGAAGCGACATCTGAGGTTGTCCGTCGTGATGAGCTGGCTGCGAAAACAGATCTCTTTTGCCCTCATCAGAGCACAAGTATTGTGCATTCGCGGATCACGTTCTTGGCGCCATGTAAATTCATCATCGAACATTGAACTGTCCGAACAATTATCAAATTTTAAAATGTAATATCTTTGACTATAATTGTAAACGTGTTGTGAAATCCGCTCCAGGATTACTTTTGATATGTGTAATACCTCAAGTTTGTAATTAAATATATGTCATTTTCTAAAAAAAAAAATGTAATACAAAAATCTAAGCTAACTATCCTTCCATCTAATAAAATTTATTTCAGTTTAATGGCTTGTGTCATTAAAAAGTTATCATCAATCAAACAGAAGTCCTTTTTTTCGGACACCCGCCATATATATCCTTTGTTTTATACGGTATAATTTTAGTCAACTAATTACAGAAGGCCATCTAAGATACGGGGAGAAATTAAAACAGACATTTAGGCCGCATATATTCAATTTTAAATTTGCGCAGTATGAAAGATGGGATATGTAGGTTCAATTCATATCAGAAAGTAATAATCAAATGTTTTTAAAATTGAAATAAGCGATCGAAATTAAACGTGCTCGATTGGTAGTAAAAAGGACAAAATTGAAATTTGGTAGGAGCTTAGTGGCGCAGACACCAATGAAATTATCTGTTTAATTCCCAGTGTTGAAAGAATGTGATTTTCGACCGTCAATTTTTGTCATGCGTCGCCATTCGATCGACTTTTGTTTGTCAGGATGATTTTTTGAGCACGCCTACCATAGCTAGTTTTCTGCGTTTTCATCATTCCTATGCGAATGCGTAATGCTTTATATTCGCACTTGTGAGAGAATTGTCATCAGGATAACCTCGATATAATATTGTATTCGTTTATCATAATATAAAAAAGATCAAGTTTTTTGGTACACAATATTAATTGTCTTCACCATCTCGAAGACTACCCAAGAGATGACTGGGAAAAGAGAAAGACACAACGTGTATTCATTCACTGCATTTCAATTAAAATTTGTAATTCTAGGTTTAAGCTCTTTCTTGGCAGGTGAAAATCAAATTAAATTGGACTTGTTATTTTAAATATTGCATAACGACGTGTTAAAGCGGCGGTTTCTTTCTTTGAGTCACGTTTTGGAACCCGTAATGAGTGACAGTCTATATTTGTCGTTAATTTATGCTAATACACAATACACTGACAACAATACACTTTTTCAATTTTTTAAGAGCTCGATTTCTCGCCTTTGTTTAATTTACGTTTTTCCTTTTCCGCCAATTCGGTGATAGTGACAGGTTTTTACAAAAAAGACTGGGTATAGCTCCAGAGTGTTCAAAACCAGTGGCGGATCTAGGGGTGTGCAGAAATGAGAATAAATTACTACTGCTTAAAATCGGAATCGCATAGGTAGATTTTAAACTAAAAATATTCTTTTCAAATCTATAACCAATAACGTTTTTAATAAGGTGTTTTGAATTAAAACAAGACGCCTGTTCTGGCGTTAACTCCGGCGCACGTGCCAGTCTTCAATACAGAGCTTCGGAACATAAACAATACAGTTCATATTCGCATTTAGATGCCTTGCGAACCTAAATGTTCGATCGCGAAATTCAGAAGCACATCGTACTTTAAAAAGTATAGAAGTTCAATTGTTCAAAAATGTAAATAAACGGCATGATACATTCGCTTTGTCTTACACTTTGCCTTTGGAATTTGCGCTTATATAGTTATATTAAATCTTTAATCCTGTGCAAGCTACGACGAGTCAAAGCGCCCATACACGACCATTTAATCATCTGTTTAAACGGCGAAATAGCAGCGATATTACTAAAATTGGACCAGAATCTACATGTAATAAATATATTCTTACCCCAATTCAATCTAAACTTAATCGAGAAGCATGAAAAAAACGGTTTATTTGTTCCTGTTGGAGGAATTGCCGTATCATGCGAGCGAAATCGAATCGCGCATTGGAAAATTAGCCAAAGTTGTGCACCACAACTCTTGGGAGACAAGACTGGGACATAAATTATAGATAAATCCAATCAAAAAAACATTTTAAATACTAGTATATTTCTCACCATTTCAGACTTGCGACGACGAAAAATAATAAAAAAAAAAAAAAAAAAATAAAACCGAGGCGAATTTTCAACCCCGTCGCTGACGCCGGAGTAATTAAGCGGTGTAATTTATTCTGCACAGGCCTAGATCCGCCACTGTTCAAAACTAAAATCTAAATTCCTCTTTAATGTATCCGTTAATAATCAATGTTACTATAACCAAATTAAGTGACAAAAACCTAATATATGTTTAAAATATATTTCAAGTATTACCTTCTCTAACTGGTTGCAATTCGTTGTACCAAGCACCTGAATTTTCTGACGATGTTTTACGGACCTTTTAAGAATAGTTGCAATTTCATCATGACCAAGGTGGATACTCATTTCAAGAAGGCTCAAATTTCTTCCATCAACGAGAAATGTCCCACCTCTCCATAAGTTGACGTTCTTTTTTAACAGAAGAGTGACCAAATTAACCGAATTTTTCACAATTGCTATCTTTAAAATATCAATGCCAAGAGTATCATTGCGGATTTCAGCGCCATTTTCAACAAGATATTTTACTATTTCAACCCGACCTTTAGCAACAGCAGAGTGCAGCACAGTGCACCCGTTTGTATCCTTGCCATTTACATCAGCACCCTTTTCCACAAGACACTTTATTATTTCAAGCGCACCCTCGGTAACAGCAGAGTGCAGCACAGTCCACCCGTTTGTATTTTTGCCATTTATATCAGCGCCTTTTTCAACAAGAAATTTTACTATCTCAAGCGTACCGTCTGTAATAGCAGAGTGCAGCACAGTCCACCCGTCAGTATCCCTGCCATTTACATCACCATCATGTTCAACAAGATATTTTACTATTTCAAGATTACCTTTAGCAACTGCAGAGTGCAGCACAGTGCTCCCGTTTGTTTTTTTGCCATTTAAATCAGCGCCCTTTTGAACAAGATATTTTACTATCTCAAGCGTACCCTCTGTAACAGCAGAGTGCAGCACAGTCCACCCATCAGTATCCTTGGCATTTACATCAACGCTCTTTTCAACAAGATATTTTACTATTTCAAGCTTAGCTTTAGCAACAGCAGAGTGCAGCACAGTCAAGCCGTTTGTTTTTTTGCCATTTATATCAGCGCCCTTTTCAACAAGGTATTTTACTATTACAAACGTACCTTCAGTAACGGCAGTGTGCAGCACTGTACTACCACAAGTATCCTTGTTATTTACATCCGCCCCTTTTCAACAAGATATTTTACCATTTCCGGCGTAGATTTAGCGACAGCAAAGTGCATCGCTGCCCCCCACTCATTCATATTCCCATTTGCATTAGCGCATTTTTCAACAAGAAATTTCACGATTTCCAGCCTATTTTTACTAACAGCTATGTCCAGCGCAATCCAGCCGTCAGTATTCTTGCAATTTACATCAGCGCCCTTTTAACAAGATATTTCACAATTTCAAAGCGTTCCTTCTGTAACAGCAGAGTGCAGCACAGTCTGCCCGTTTGTGTTTTTGCCATTTACATCAGCGCCCTTTTTAACTAGATATTTTATTATTTCAAGCTTGCCTTTTGTAACAGAAGAGTGCAGCACAGTCCACCCGTCAGTACCCCAGCCATTTACATCAGCGCCCTTTTCAACAAGATATTTTACTATTTCAAGCGTACCCATTGTAACAGCAGAGTGCAGCACAGTCCACCCGTTTGTGTTTTTGCTATTTACATCAGCGCCCTTTTCAACAAGATATTTTACTGTTTCAAGCTTGCCATTTGTAACAGAAGAGTGCAGCACAGTCCACCCGTCAGTATCCCTGTCATTTACATCAGCTCCCTTTTCAACAAGATATTTTACTATTTCAAGCTTAGCTTTAGCAACAGCAGAGTGCAAAACAGACCACCCGTTTTTTTTTTGCCATTTACATCAGCGCCTTTTTCAACAAGATATTTTACTATCTCAAGCTTACCCTCTGTAACGGCAGAGTGCAGCACAGTCAGGCCCTTTTTTTTTTTGCCATTTACATCAGCGCCTTTTACAACAAGATATTTCACTATCTCAAGCGTACCCTCTGTAACGGCAGTGTGGAGCACTGTACTCCCACAAGTATCCGTGTCATTTACATCAGCACCCTTTTCAACAAGATATTTTACCATTTCCAGCGTACACTTAGCGACAGCAAAGTGCATCGCTGCCCCCCACTCATTCCTATTTCCATTAGCATTGGCGCCTTTTTCAACAAGATATTTCACGATTTCCAACCTATTTTTACTAACAGCTATGTCCAACGCAATCCAACCATCAGTATCCCTGCCATTTACATCAGCGCCCTTTTCAACAAGATATTTCACTATTACAAGCGTACCTTCAGTAACAGCAGAGTGCAGCACAGTCCAGCCGTTTGTTTTTTTGCCATTTACATCAGCGCCCTTTTCAACAAGATATTTTACTATCTCAAGCTTACCCTCCGTAACAGCAGAGTGCAGAACAGTCCACCCGTCCGTATCCTTGCTATTTACATCAGCGCCCATTTCAACAAGATATTTTACTATCTCAAGCGTACCCTCTGTAACAGCAAAGTGCAGCAAAGGCCACTCGTCATTATTCTTGGCATTTACATCAGCTTCCTTTTCAACAAGACATTTTACTATTTCAAGCGTACACTCTCTAACAGCATAGTGCAGCACAGTCCATCCGTCCATATAAACGACATTTACATCAGCGCCCTTTTCAACAAGATATTTTACTACTTCAAGCGTACACCCTTTGTAACAGCAGAGTGCAGCACAGTCCACCCGTTTCTTTTTTTGGCAATTACATCAGCGCCCTTTTCAACAAGATATTTTACTATTTCAAGAGCACCTTCAGTAACAGCAGTGTGGAGCACAGTCCACCCTTCAGTATTGCTGCCATTTACATCGGCGCCCTTTTCAACAAGATGTTTTACTATTTCCAGCATACCTTCAGCGACAGTAGAGTGCAGAACAGTGCACCCATCGGTATAGCTGCCATTTACATCAGCGCCCTTTTCAACAAGATATTTTACTATTTCAAGCTTACCTTCTGTAACAGCAGAGTGCAGCACAGTACACCCGTCAGTATCCCTGCCATTTACATCAGCCCCCTTTTCAACAAGATATTTTACTATTTCGAGCTTACCTTCTGTAACAGCAGAGTGCAGCACAGTCAATCCGTCAGTATTCTCGCCATTTACAGTAGCGCCCTTTTCAACAAGGTATTTTACTATTCCAAGCGTACATTCAGTAACAGCAGAGTGCAGCACAGCGGAGCAGTCGGTATCCTTGCCATTTACATCTGTAACTGTCCGTTCAAGTTCCTGTCTTTGTTCATCCTGAAATTGCAGGGGCTTTTCTTCTTCACCTACGCTCATTCTTCCACTGGAATTTTGCTTTTTATATGTGCCTATACAGGATAGGTAAAAAAATCGCGTGAGGCGAAAAATTTCAATTCCTGAAGGAAATTTTGGAATACCTCCTGCATTATTTGATTGACAAGTTACAAAGAATGCAGAACATGCCTGCAAGGGTCATAAAACCCAGCCTGCACTTACACTTACTTTCAGTGCGGCCGATTTGACGCATGCTCAGTGATTCGAAACTTGTCCCTAACGCGGCTAAGTTTTGTACGCATGAGAGTAAAATTGTAGTCCACTTTCAAGGCGGCCGTCAAGGTGCTGGCCGTAGGTGCGATTTCACGTACTATGCGCCAGTTAAGGTCGGGTTTGACGTGTAAATCGTATGGAATAAGATCAAGCGATATATTGAATGAATTAGGGATGAAAGCGAAAAAGCAATTCTCGCGTACAAAGTAAGATATAATTGCGTAAATCAAGCAATAGCTCAGATAATCAGTTTCATAATTTGAAAAAGAGCAGCAATAATTTTCAAATTCCGAAGCCTGAAATTAATTTTATGAATGAGAGCATAAGTTATTCCGGAGCAAAAACCACAGCCAGTCGATTCAATATTTGAATCAAACAAGACACAGGTTGAAACTGTAAGTTTCTTTGATTCGATCTCATGGCTTTGAAAGTCCAAAATTTACAGTCCCAACTTGTGTCTTGTTTCATTCAAATATTGATTCTGAAGATGTTTATTCTATTCGGAATTTTTTTTACTTTATACTGGAGCAATGCTGTGGAATATAATTTGCCAAATGTTGCAACCTAACCATTGGTCAGTTTAAAAATGTCCTCAATAGCAATAAATAGTTTTATTCAAAATTTAAATTCGTATAGATATGATTTACATAGTTGTACAATTAACATTATTTTTTTTTAAAGTTCGTTTAAAAATGGCGAATTTAATTTGTTTGGAAGGTTATGCAACGTGATTGGCTGCCGCAAATATTTTTTAATTTTTCTTAATTGTTTTCGCTGAGAGTCAGACTTCGCGCGAAGAAATTGGATTTTTTTAAAGTATTTTTCCTCTTGTCTCAATACACTCACAACAATAGTGTTATTCTATTTTACTAGTATTTTAGGGACCTCAGCACAACCCCGCTCTGGGCGCTCCTACAAGAAAAACATATCAATTCCAAAGCTTAGAATATACTAGTTAATCAAAACATGCAAACGACTTAAAGATTAAAAAAAAACGCTTTGTTAATGATTTTGAATTAACAGCTACACTCTACGCGTATCTATCACAATATTGTTTCAGAATGGGTGTGATAAATTAAGAGATCGTGCATCCAGAAAAATGCGAAATTTATGTTATCATCAAATCAACGGGTCCTGGATTGTTATATGAGCCAATCGATCTGGATAGCAAACAAAACTGGGAGAATCACATTCATAAAATATGCAGTAAAGTTAGTGCAGATATTGTTGCGATAAGACCTTTATTAAACCTTTTGGTACACTTGCAACTACACAAACAATTTAGAAGACAGCAATATATTTTGATTTCTTAAATTTAATGTTGACTATTTTTCCGGACAACGGAGGTAAAGACATACGATTTTTTATACCTAAGCAGAAACGTAGCAAAAAATGGAACTTCGGATCGAACTTACACCTCTGCGATTCCGCATACATGATAGAGATGTCCAAAGCAGAATTGATCAATTGCCTAAAGCAGTTTCACACGACTGCCAGGCAGAAAAAACTGCTGGTAGAGTGAATAGTTATGACCCAGCCCTGCACGCGCCTCGTGAGCTATCAGCACATGTACGACTTGAGTTCGCAGAATAACTGGCAATTATATACATGTCGCTAACAATACGTTTTTAAATATTTCAATCTATATATTTTACTATTTCCAGCGTACCTTTTGTAACAGCAGAGTGTAGCACTGTCCAGCCGTCAGTCGTCTTGCCATTTACATCAGCGCGTTTCTCCACAAGATATTTCACTATTTCCAGAGTACTTTTGGCAACAGCAGAGTGCAGCACAGACTGCCCATAAGTATCTTTGCAATTCACATTAGCACCATGCTCAACAAGATATTTTACTATTTCGAGCGAACCTTGAGTAATTGTTCGTTCAAATCGCTTTCGTAGTTCATCCCAATGCACACTCATACTTCCACTTTGCTCTTGCTTTTTATCTGAGCCTATACAGGATTTATAAAAAAGCTTATAGATAGATAGAGAGATAAAATTACCTTTTTCTTTCTTGAAATTTGCAACGCACTTCTACTTCTAAGAGATGTAAATTAGTGAGGAGTTCCCAAAATGTAAAAGAAAAACCATGGCGTGTAACAAAGACAAAAATTTGGTAGTAGCCAAAATTTACATCTCTCAAAAGACGAATTGCATTGGAAGTTCCAAGAGGAATTGCACCGTGTAACAAGGCCTTAAGGCTGAATTGCGTAATATTTACAAAATTTAAAATTACCTATACAACATTTTTAACTTCAGTGTAACTATTTATCACATATTATTACGTTTTCGCTGCTTTTCTTAAATATAAAAGAATTCTTAGTACGATCAGTATAAATGTGTGGCATTAAATTTACGTTCATTTCTTAGGTCAAGATACGATTGATGACTGGTCTTCACACAAGTTTCACAAGCTGAACCATAATCCACTCCTGGCTTTATAATTGCTATCGCTCTTTTTTCTAAAAGTACAAGGTCAATCTTTAAATATTTCGGTTGATCCAACACACGATGTAAAAAATAAAATAAAATCTGCAGTTAGTAACTTAGCCTTCTCTAACTGAACCAAAAAGTATAGTCTCTTATTGAATTTCTTGATGACTCCTTCGATATGAGCATTCCATGTAAATTTATTACTTAGTGTAACCCCAAGAAATTTGACATTCTCAACAGTTTCGATTTCTTTCCATTTACATTTAATGTTAGAAACATTACTGGTGTTACTGAATTTTGCGAGAATGTAATTCTAAGTTCTTGAAATCTATTTTCCTCTAAACACTGCGCTCTAACACGATCCACTATACTCTGGGCCTCACTGACACCACCCTTGGGAGGATCTGTGATGCTGTAGTATGATAGGTATGGCGAATTAATATCAAGATCGTTGATCATTAAAACAAATAACCAGAAGCCCAGCTTCGTACCCTGTGAAACGCCAGAAGGAACAGAACCCAATTCAAAATAACAGCCTTCGGCCAATTTCACTCTCTGCGTTCTATTAGACAGGAACTCAGTTATCCAGCTGATTATGCTCCAAGGTAAATCCAAACTACTCATTTTCCTGATAAGGATCTCATGATCAATTAAATCAAACGCTTTTCGATCATCGAATAGAATTGTTCTTACGGTCGCACCATTCCCATCAGTTTCTAAATACCAATGATGTAACCTGCTTATTAACGACATGGTAGTTGACGACTTTGGAATCGACGGGTACTGGCGCTGATCTATCACGTTTAAAACATCTGATTTTACATAATCTTTTATGATGAACTCCTCTGCTACTTTAGACACATACTAACACAGGGATATTGGTCGTAAGTCGTTTTACTGGTTTCTTCTTTGGTAATGGGGATACATCTGCCATCTTCCAGGCTATAGGTATCAGCTGTTCACAGTAAGATGAATTAAGCATTTTCGTGATGGGAAAAGCAACAATATATGAATATTCCTTCAAGAGCCAGTTAGGTATTTTGTTAGGTGAATCTTTTAATGGCAGGCGTTCAAGAGGAGTGAAAGGTTTGTATTCTTCAAGTGGTGCGAGCAAAGCTGTGTTGATGGTATTTGCTTGTTCGTGTGGAGTTAGGTTTGAGAATCTAAATAGCCTACTCTTGCTAGTTAGATATCTTTAAGGCCGTACCGAGAACATTCCGATTTGCATGGCCGGTGTGTTTTCAATAGTTCACCAACGAGGTTAATTATTTACTAACGAAGTATCTTGGCGGGATATTTTTGTAATTTGTAAGTTTCTCTCATAGTGAAATTGAAAGCAACAGGACAAGAGGAAAAACTATTACGAAAGAAGTGCATGCTTAGCAAGAAAATGAAGACATTATAAAACGGTGTAACTTTTCATGTAGCTTGCCTAGCAAATGGCGTTGTTGTAAAGGGGTGTAGGAAGGTTAATAGGGAGTTATTATGATAAAACAAGCTTTTTCCTGTTGAATAAAATTTTTTGTAACCTATAGAAAAAAAATAAGGAAACATCACCTCGACTAAAAATCATGATGAAAATCGCATATTTTCCACAAGATCATATTTCGGTCGGAATTTTACAGAGAATTTGCATATCGGGAATAAGCTTGAAAATTGCGAGCCTATACTACGTTACTAGTAAATAAAGCGAAAATGAACAGATTCTACTTCCTTTAACGAATTGTTATTCTTGGGTATATTTTCATATTTTGGGTATATTTTCAAATTTTGGGTATATTTCAAGAAGTACTTATAATTTGTACTCGGCTTTGGCTAACGTTAATCGTTTGTAGATTTCCTATCAATCTGAGATAAAAATGAAGGTTCCTGCGGATTTTATTGTTTATACTAGAAAAATGCATGCAGCAACCCTTCGCCATTTTAAACGAAGCAAAATATTTCGTGCGCTACCCAGACCTACCTTTCTACGCTAATATGATACAAATAATGAATGTTTATGAGTGCAATGGTAAAAATATTTTCACGAGGTGAAAGATAGAATGTTCCCTCTGGAGAGTGCAATGGAACGCTTTCCATTGCACTCTTGGGTAATGGGACTTTCTATTTAATATCACGTGATCGTTATCAACCAATTAAGCGCCCTAAATTTAATGGGGTATTGTATAATATGAAATAACTCGTGCAAATTTTTCGGAAACAAAGACAGTCGTAAAGGTGAACAGAAATCACCTGATTGGCTGCTGCATTACGTTTAAGTGAGTGTTAAACTTTTCAATAGCTAAACCTTCAAAACATCAAAACAGCACAAATAATTATAATAACCATACAAGCACTAAACGTCGAATGTTGTTTTTCGATTATTTATTTCATTCAATGATTTTAGCGACTATATAAGCTGCAAATTGATATTTGTTTTATCAAAACTCTGAAGTACACTTTTGAGAACTCTTTTTAAAGTTTAAGCGATGATGTAAAGCCTTAAACGGTCGGTTAGCTCCTTCTAAAACGACATACCAAGCTCGTACTTGTCAAAATAACAATGCAATCTTACAGCAAACACTGAATAAGCAAAATATAGACACCTACCACTTCAAAGATTATAAACTACGAGTCGTTCCTATTTCACCAACTGTTTCTGTGCTGTGATGATCTTTAAATCTTTTATCATTGTTTTAATATTTGACTCCATGATTTCATTTTATATTTTTAAAAAATAGTTTGAAAAATGACGGTTAAAATGCTGACGCTATCATGCATGCTCTCTTTTTGTCTTAGCCAATCAGCAAGTCGTAGTCGTTCTTTCTTCATTCAAATTTTGCGCATGCGCACAACTACCATGACCATTGAACGTCCATGACATTTTGGCAACTTTGGATTCTGCTATGTTCTCCCGGGTCCCGGGTGTAATTCCTAATCTCCGGGCGGAATTAGTACCCTCGCGCCGGCTCGGGGATCATGCGTGTCTACAGGGCCTATACGCTGGGAGAACAATCTTCATTATCACCGAAATTTCAAACTGCGCCATAGGTCATCATAACAGCAACAAGATCCCATTTTCCCAAGCGTAAAAAGGAATGCTGATTTTATAAATTTCAGTGTTTCTATTTCTGTAACTATACGTTTACTGTATTATGCAAGGTTGTTTGGGTTTATTGATGCAGCCGCTATAGCTCATCGACCGAAATAGTTGGCGATGTATTCTTTTTTTCCAGAGTACCTTCAGCAACAGCGGAGAGCAAAAGAGTCCACTCGTTGGTCATTTTGCCATGTGTATCAGCGCCTTTCTCCACCAGATATTTTACTTTCTCAAGCGTACCTACTGTAAAAGCAGAGTGCAGCACTGTCCACCCGTCATAATCCTTGTTATTTACATCAGCGCCCTTTTCAACAATATATTTTACTCTATCCAAATTACTTTTAGTAACAGCAGAGTATAGCACAGTTCTCCCGTGTGCAAAATATCTTACTTTTTCAAGCTTACCTTCAGTAACAGCAGTGTGCAGCACACTCCATCCATTGGCGTTCTTGCCATTTACATCAGCGCCTTTCTCCACCAGATATTTTACTTTCTCAAGCGTACCTGTTGTAACAGTAGAGTGCAGCACTGTCCACCCGTCATAATCCTTGTTATTTACATCAGCGCCCTTTTCAACAATATATTTTACTCTATCCAAAGTACTTTTAGTAACAGCAGAGTATAGCACAGTCCTCCCGTGTGCATCCTTGAAAGTTAAATCAGCGCCCTCTTGAACAAGATATTTTATCACTTCCAGCGAACCTTGAGTTCGTTCAAATTGCTCTCTTAGTTCAAACCAAAGGTGTAGTTTTCTTTCTTCTCCACGCACACCTTGCTCTTGCTTTTTATCAGTTCCTATATAAAGAAGTTCTCACAAGTTAAAGTCAGCGCAAGTATGAAGACCCTATTAAACTTTTTTATGCAACTTGCCTGGGAAGGCATTGCACCGCTGGGAGGTAGAAATATGTCGGGGATTTGGGGGCTCCTCTCACGAGGTGTCACAGGCATGGTTACCGCAGGACGACCACTCTAAGAGCTATAAAATATTTTGTCTTATAATATTGGGAGCACTGACTTCTCAGAAGACTCAGAAAAAGTGCGCCGTGTAAAGCCCGTTTTCCATTTGGCGAATTTGTTCGCGAGAAGTACAGCTACAAATTCTGCAACGTGATTAGCTAGCATAAATGCTTTTTAGGCCGACTTTTTCACTGACAAATCACGATACCAAATTTCATCGCGAGAAAAATTCCGAGCGCATGCAGAGCTGAGTCAGCTCATGCGGCCTTGACAGGCTTGAAAAACAAAGGCGAAGCACACGTAATGAAAAATCGTCTTAAAGGCCCACGTACACTGAACGCGATTCGCCAAGGCAAGTTTGTAGTTAAAACTAAATAATATCAATTCTGGAAGGAAATTTTAAGAGTTATATGCCCGAGACTTGTCAAAACGTGTTATCCTTCAGTATAATTATCAACAATATTACAATAAATTATGAAAAAATTTAGTTGCTTTTGAAAACTGGAAAATTCGTTAAAACCGCGTGTAATAACGCTATGCTACTACTACTACAATTGCCATCACCACTGTCCACTACAGTCTGTTTCATCCGTAGGAATCATTTGGTCGTAGACATAATTATAACGAAATGATGCCGCTGAAGTAGTTTTGGTCGAAACGTCGGTGGTCAAACGATGCCCTAAGATTTGTTTCGTACGACGTAATCGGCGCGAAACATTCTTTAGTGATTACATGTGTAATATTGTTTGTTTCTTACGCTTTTTCTATGTATCTTTCTATATCCCTTACATAACTAGATCTCCCTCAATTAATGTCAATCAATCCCCTAATCAAGTCTATATTTAGCTATTACTGTCCGTGTCTATATATATATATATACATTACATCTCTCCCTTTGTTTAATGAATTATCAAGTTTGGGTTTATTGCATTTCCAAAAAGTTCTCTCTGTCTACGCTGCCTTGTTGACCTTCTCACCACTGGTTCTGGCGTTGGTTCGTCCGCTGCTCGTTCGATGAGTGCATTTCCTGTCGCTCTGTTTTGCTTGTCGAAATTTGTAGACTTCGTATAATCGATTTTTTTGAGGCTCGAAGTATTCGGTGAGAAGTTCCGTCGCTTTATCGAAGTCGTCGTCGTTACCAGGGTCTGGAAAGTGTCGAAAGATTTCCCGTACTCGCGGTCCTGCTTGGTATAAAAGTAATGCTCGTTGGCGTGTCTTGTTTGTAATGTTGCTCGCCGTTAGAAATGTTTTGAAATCTGCCAACCAAGTACGCCATTTAGCCGCTATATTTCCTCCCGCGTCAGCATCAGGGTCAAACGGTGGCATAGGCGTGAGATATGTCGCCATTATATAATATGTTTTAATCACTTGTTTTAGTCTTCGTCGCCAATGTAATATTCAAGCAGTTAAAACGCCAACCGCGAAAGAAACAAAACACAAGACATCCAATAAGACATGTTTTTACTGTGGTGGCAGCTACCCTCACACCAACAAACCGTGCCCTGCCAAAAACAAGACATGTGCCAATTGTGGTAAACTAAACCATTTTGCTAGCCAGTGCCGCAGTAGCAACACGAGAGAAAATAGACAAACTGGTAAACCACGCGAAGACCTACGACCAGTTAACACAGACCTCCAGGACAACACTAGCAGCGACAGTAGTGGTCCAGAATATTGTTACGCGGTCAACAACAAACAAAAACACCCGCAAGCGTCAATTGCTCTCAATGGACAAAGAGTAAAAATGACCATTGATACGGGGTCAAGCATAAATGTAATCGATAAACACACGTTCCAACAACTGCGAGATATCCGACTTCAGCCAACATCCGTGAAAGCATATCCCTTCAATTCCACAACACCTGTGAAGATGGAAGGAAAATTCCGCGTTTTAGCAGAGTCGAAACACAAATTCACGGTAGCTACCATATTTGTTACTTCTGACGACGGCGGTTGTTTACTTAGTTCTGAAACTGCACAAGAACTTGGACTCGTAAGTCTCCATTTAAATCAGATAAACAAGGAAACAGAACGTTCAAAAATCACACCAACAACGAGCGATAAAAACCTCGCACGCATCCTAGATAAACATGGCCCTGTGTTCTGTGGACTTGGGAAACTAAAGAACAAACAAATCAAATTAGTTATCGATGAAACCGTTTCACCAGTTGCACAACCGCAGCGCCGAGCACCGTTCCATTTACGCGGAAAAATTGAAGATGAAATACGCAGATTAGAACAGGATGACATCATTGAGAGAATACCCGAAGGAATTTCAACGGAGTGGGTTTCCCCAGTCGTCGTCGTCCCAAAGCGTGACGATAAGATTCGATTGTGCGTAGATATGCGAGTAGCAAATACAGCTATTCAGAGAACTAGATCTCCCTCAATTAATGTCAATCAATCCCCTAATCAAGTCTATATTTAGCTATTACTGTCCGTGTCTATATATATATATATACATTACAACATGTGAAAACTAATTCCACCGTTTTGTTTAATAAATAGGCCCTATCCTTTTCTTCTAAACATAAATAACATCTTTTTGATCACAATTTTTATCAGCAGTTTTGCGTTTCCCTTAAACGTCAAGCTAAGTGTCTCTAAAAACCTATATGATAATTTAACTTGTTTTAGCCAATATAGAAGCCGTATATGATCGATTCGGAACCGTGCCCTCGTTCAGTTAATGAGGCTACTCGTTCGCTCTCGTTCTAGGGTGCAGGTTAACTATTTGAAAGACTGTGCCAAACGTGGACTGGCATTGAAATTTTTGCGATGTTTTCGATTTGATTATTGTGTTGTCGTTATCAGCAGTCCATAACATTCCGTTTAGAAACAAACGGCAACCGCGATCATATTTTTCCCTTGCGGTCGTCTGCGGTTTCTATCGGTCGACCGTAACCGAACCGGGCCGCAGTGTCAGTTATTTCTGGACAGTCCTGTATATAATTAGGGAACCGACATTTTGGAACGCTTGATGCAATTTGCCGCAACGAGTCAAGTCGTACGAAAAAGTTCGCGGTGGAAACCCGTTTTCCACTTGCTGAATTTGTTCGCGCGAACTGAAAATTCTGCAACGGGATAAGCTGGCGTAAATTCTTTTTGCCACGATTTTTTTTTCGCTTCGAATCATGCGAAAAAATTCGTGTAATGGAAAACTGGCCTAAACATGTCCAGACCCCACGTCTATATATACTTCCAACAAAAGCGTTATGCTATTCCTTTAGTATTTTAGGACCACAGCACTCATGCCACACTGGGCGTTCCTACAGGCGTTTAAAAACACATGGGAACAATCAGAAAGAAACATTCCGAATACTGGTAGAGGTGCTGAATCGAAGATCATTACGAGTATATGTGACGCTCTGCCTCTCCAATCTTTGTTCCCCACGTCGGTTTATTTTCCTGTATGTTGTTTCATCTATCAGGTTGACACCGTTGACTGATGCTCCAGTATCAATCATTATGTTGAGACATTGTCTTTCTATTTCAATTAGACACATATTCGTATTCTTCATCTTCGTCAACATTTAGTCGGATTTCGTTAAGAGAATCTGCGACAGCATTAACTGCCTTCGATTTCGGTGGATTTGTTCGACATACGCGTGCAAAATGTCCTCTTTTCCCGCATGCTCTACAAACTTTATCTTTAATTCGCTGGACAAACTTATTTCTGGGGAAAATGTCCACCACAATTTCTGCAGGCTCGGCTATGTAAAGCCCCGTTTACACTACACTCGATTTATTGGCACGGCACGGCTAAAATGGGTACCCGTGCCCATTTCATCTGTGCCCGGCCTGTGTTTTGGTAGCCTGAACACTAATAAAATTGGGCACGGGTACAAATTTTAGCCGTGCCGTGCCGATAAATTGACTGTAGTGTAAACGGGGCTTATTTAATTTGTTTCTTGTTATGCAAGTTCTTCTTACTAGAACGATGGTGAATAATTTCGTCTCACTTGATAACTTCTGCTTCTGCCAGAAACTGAATTTACTGCTTGATCTCTTCACTCCAGATGTTTCGCTTTGCTGTCACTTATTTCCATGCAAAGACCTTCCAACCTTTAGTAGCTCTTCTAAACGGTATTCACCCTGAAGTGCTCGTCTACGCAGCTTGTTCAAAATGGAACTAAGAATAACATGTTCTTTTATCTCTTTATTTATATCAGAAAAATCGCAAGTTTTGGCGAGTTGACGAGGTTTGACGTGATAACTATCGAGTGATTCTGTCTTGACCTTGGTTCTGTCTTGCTTGTCTGAAATTGTAGACTCCATACGCGATATATATATATATATATTAATATATATATATATATATATATATATATATATATATATATATATAAACAAATCAACAAAATATAATCATAAAATTGTATTTCATCGCTACACTGTGTTTCACGTACTAGTTTTAGTACGATCCTCAGGCGATAACTATTTACAACGGTTTACGCACACGCGTTTTTGATTGATTACGCGAGAGTTTTAACGTGCATGTTTGCGTGCGCTTAACATTACAAACCTTAAAACCATATCTATGCCGGCATTTACTAAACAGTTCTGTCCTTTTGTTCAACGATTTGTTTTTGTCTGATAGCATGATTAATCTTTTTTCCTCGGTGCATAAATTGCAAACTTTCATTTCTGGACATGCGGCGGGAACTTGCTTCATCACTGACCATTTTATCCCAAATGGTTTATCTTGCGACTTGAGCCCCCAAACATACTTCGAGAGCTCCGTTTCTCCAGAGTAGCGTTCGTGGTTAAAAGACTTTAAGTGGTTGCTGTATCTGAGTTTGAAGCTACCTGATGTCATACCAATATAATGCTTGACA